TTTTACTTTAACCCAAAAATATAAATCAATATAAAATACTACCAGGGTTTTATTAGATGTGCTTGTAATCCCTAAGCTCTTCGATGGTAAAGTAAAACTCTGGGAGAGTTCGGTGGCAGTCCACAACGAGCAATGAAGTTGAAATGGTACCCATCCCAACTTTGTCTAAATGCCATTAGTCTCTCCAGACTGGAACTTGATTTGTGTCATTTAGCTTTGTTTCTAAAATTACACAGTTTGAAAATGTCATTTCCTTTCCAGAATTTTTTAATGGGACAAATTAGTTTTGATAGTTAACATATGGGCAGAGATTTTGAGAAAGAAACGGGCTGAAGCTATTAGGGGCACATTTACCAAATGTGAGTAGAAACTAGAAACGTGTTTTAGCTTTAACTGCAGATTATGTCTTGTTCAGTCTTCATTTTAATATGTAACAACTGGACTTATTGACTTTGGTGTGGCTTTAACTGCTGCCACAAACTGTAATTCCTCCCACAGAAACTGTCTGTAACAGAAACTAGATTTGATGTATAATTCCACAATGCTGCATTTTGACAGTACAAACCTTAGAGAAGGCTATACAACCAAGAATCTGAAATGGATAGTTAAAACAAAGAAGCTTTCACTAACTCCTTATGTATCTAGGGGCCATTTATGTATATAATGTGTATTGCCCATATTTATAACAAATCAGCTATTGCTTCTTTATTTTAGCTGCTTTCTTTTTCTTTATCCTTTATCCTCTCTTCCATACAAACACACCACTGTATACAGCTCTTTCATAGTGGGTAAGGATTAGCTGATTCCCTGACAATTTCTCTGGGCGTTTTTGAGGTAGCTGTCCTTATAGAAATAGATGACAATCTGTGGGAGGGGCGTGATGGCCCTTCTTCCTTTTCCGTGCATTGAATAATTTGTCTACTTGAACTCTTAGTTGGGTTTCCTTGCAAACCTTGTGTTTTGATTAGCAGTTACATAACTCTCATCTTTGCTAAATTACTTTCTGAACAGCAAGGACATCAAAACACCACCTTGCCATCTGGGCCTACTTGTGAATAGAAATGAGAGATTTTATCTTTTACTCATTTTGTTTGGTTTCATTTAAATGTTTCCAAATGTTGGCCACAGTGCTCGGGGCCTCCAGTATAGCTTGAGCAATAAGGAATTGGGAAAGGAGGATTATTACATGATCTGGGAGAGCTGTATCCAGCTTGTTCTCAAGATGTATTGCAGTGGTTTTGTTGGCAGACAAGAAAATACTCCTAAACACTTGTGAGCCTATCCTGAGCACATGAAATGTTTTTCAAGAAATGCCATTGGATATTTTCCAGATATTTTTAATTGTTTGAAAGACTCCTGCTACCACTTTGAATGCATTTCTCTTAACGTCTGTTAATGCACTTCTGATTCAATTTTCTCTCCAAATGTAAAAGTGCCATCTTAGCTTAGTTTTGACATTAATGCTTTATTTATACAAAAGTACTTTGACATTTGCAACTACGTTACTTCCAGCATGTTTATGATTTTTTTATGTGTGAAGAGAGGAAGGCCATTTAGCCTGTCCAGGCTGTTTGCTAGTAACTTATTGATCCAAGGATCTTAATCAACCGTTTCTTGAAGGAAGCCAGGGAATCGACTTGACAGCATGGCTGTGTAGCTTGTGCCATACTTCCATCCCCCTAACACAAGAAAGTGCCCCCTGTTTTTGCTGTTAAATAAGCTTCTGTATACTTTCCACTTATTTCCTCTGGTTCATGTTTCATGATTTGTTCCGAAGAAGTCCAGTGTGTTGACTTTGTGACACTTAACACAAAACATAGTCAGTCTTCTGTGTCCCAAGAGGTTTCGTACGGTGCCTGTTAAACTCAGCACAACACACGCGAGTTTATGTTTATAGGTTACTGAAAACGTGATGTTTCTGCTTCAGCATTTATTCTGACGTTCACTGTTTTGACTTTGTCAGTGCCTTTAAAGTTTTTGTATACTTGGATAAGATTCCCTTGTAGGCTTCTCTGTTCAAAGGCTAAAAAAAATTAAGTTCCTCCAGTTTGCACTGTTTGGTGTTCCTTTTAGACCTGGAATATATAACCCATGTGATGGACTGGTGTCCTGTACAGGCTCAGGCTCCCTCACGACCCTGAATTGGAAGAAGCAGTTTGAAAACAGAGGATGTGTAACTCTTGGACCTCTGGGTCTGGTCAGAAGTAGGGTTGTGAATGATTTATTCCAGAAGAGTGTACAGTAGAGCTATTTTCTGTTTTACACCAAGCGCAATCCTGCTGTGGTTTCTAGTAGGGCTGGTGTCTATTGGAGGAGGTGTTGCTGAAGTTACTCTTACTAACTCGAGCCTACCTAAACCTGGCAGTGCTCTGCCAGCTGTGCACATAGGACTGGAGCTCACAGATAGATAACGACAGACCAGCCCAGACATAAAATCCATTTATAGATGAAATGGCTCTTCCACAGTTTCAATTTTTTAACTTGCATGGAGGTACGGTTTAAGAGTTAAAGTTTAATGCGAGGCGTTAGTGGACGCAGGTTATTGTAAACAACTTATTGGTCAGACACAAGTCTTGCGCAACTTATACCCACAAAAAAAGACTAATGTAGCAAATGAACATCCTGGTGATCTCATAATACTGTTTTAATCACCGTTACCTACAGTTCAAATGAGTTTCGTTTGGCATAATAACAGGTAAATAGTAGACATTTTATTTTGTATTCTGGAGATTGTGCTACGTGGTAAGGATTTTTTTCAGCAATTTATTAATTTTAAGCCTTGTGTGCTACAGCAGGGGATAGTGCCTGACACCCCCTCCTTTCCTTCTTCTGGGCTCCAGTTACTTTTCTTTTAAATAGAAAGAGATGTGATGGAAATCTGATGGGACTGAGTCCAGAAACAACCCGAGTCTCTCATTATATCCAGCCTTATTTAATCAGCAATTTGAGTTTATCTAGATTAATTAAATGTGTAATGCCTAAAAAATAGCTATTTGTGGTTTATTTTTCTGATATGGAAAAACCACAGATTTTATACCTTAATGACAGCGCTGCTGGAAAGGGGTCATAGACACACGTTTGGGTTTGCATACTGAACTTCATGTTTTATGACAAAGCTGAACCTAAAAAAGGACTCCATTAACTATACTGAAATGACAGATTACTGAACAATACCTTCTGATTACCCCTTATACTGAAGCTTTTGACTAGTCACTTTAAGTTAAAGATCTTTAGAAGCCTAGGTGGCTCATTGAGAAAAGCCTACCTAGAGTTTTGTGGAAATGATTGAATTGAGGGTATAAAAGTCCCACCAGAATGGAGGCAAATCTATGATTTGTTTAAGTCCCCTTCTATGTATTAATACAGCTGAGTTATCTCTAACAACTGGGGTGAACTAGGTTGCTTAAAAGCACAGCAGCAGTGCCTGTAGAGATGTGAACACATAGCCTTCCTGTCACAGCCCAGACAGGACCACCTCCATGTTGCTCTTTTTTAGTTGTAAAAATATGGAAAATCTAATTTACTCTTTCTTTTGCTGAACTACTTAAAACAAGATATTGGATCCATGTTAGGCTTTTACAACTGTTTTTGCTTATTGATCAGAAAAATATCACATTAATTCCCAGTGCTCTGTCAGTGGGCCTTGTCTGTTGCTCTTGCTGGTGGTTTAGCTGGTGGTTTGTCTGGGCTAGCTGTGAGGACATTGCTGCTGTACAGTGAGAGTTTGGTGACTTGGCACAGTCAGAAAAATTATCAGGAGCCCAGACCACAGCAGAGCTTCAGAAAACATTCCTATTCTTATTCTTACAGATGCTGTGATGTGTAGGATACAGCCTCTGATTTACGGCTTTGCAGGTCTGCAGGTTCTACATTATATTAGACCATCTCGACTAATATAATATAATATAAATAAAACAAAGTATAAAATAGTTTTAGGTTAATATATTTTGTTGTTGACTTTACAATTTCTAGAGAACTGGATTTCAAGTTAGTATTTCCGTAGGTGGCATGGTTAATTTCTTTAGCATCTTTACCACTGTATCATGTTGAAGATGGTCTGAGCCCCATTAACCTCTAATGTGACAAATCACCATGTAGATAATCACACATCCAAACTGGGACAGTTCTCTTTTATAAAGTTTAAGCACTGTTGTAAGCTTGCTATTGCCTTAAATAAATTGGAGAAATTGAACAGATAGTATGATTCTTTTGATGTGATGCCATGCCATATTTATAATTAAGTTTCAGTTCCCCTCCCTTACAATGTATAATGTAGTATAGCTGCCTCACACAGAAAGCTCAAGATGCCTTAACCCTCTGCCTCCAGTATTTCTTCAGTATTCTCTCTGCCTCTTCCTCTCTCTGTGAGGTGGGTTGCTCCTCAGGGTTTGCATGTTTGAACTGTGCCAGTGCTGGATCTCTGCCCATTTTCCACTCTCTGTTCTCGGCTGGTGCCAGACTCCTCCGGGAGCCCTGCTCCCCACTGAGGTCATAGTGAGAGAATTCGGCGCATTCTTCTGAACTCACATTTCCTCACCAGCTGATGCTCAACATCTGCCCTTGCGTCAGAAAACTTCTTATTTTTTCTTGAAAACTATAATTTTCCATCAAAGCTTTTTTTATTTATTGGCATATGAAAATCTTACATTATTCAGCATGTGCAAAATTGGGAGGGACTGGGAACTCAAGAGATGATTTCTAAATGAAGGAATATATTTCCTGTGAAAATGAAAAGAGTGCATATTAAAATATAAAACCATTTAATCCATTAGTGAAATGGGTGGTTTTTAAAATGCCTGTTAAAATGACATATTATTATGTCTGCTAGTTTTTTTTGGCTCTTGGTGTTAAGCAAGATGGGATCAGCAGCATTAGTCCCTGTGCATTGTGAATTAGTACATAGAGTCAGTGCTAAACTTTCAGCTTCACTGGATGAACATTTCAGTGGAGCTGTGCGCTGGCTTGTGCTTATGACTGTGCTGCTGTGTTGTGTGTTTGAGGTGTGGCCGTTCCCCAGTGTATCGCTCCAGAGAGATGGCGGCTCGTGCCTTGGTACCCTTCGTGCTGGTGACACAGGTGCCCTCCATGATCCAGACATTACTGCAGGACCTGCCAGAGTGTCCCAGGAGCGCAACCCGGCAAAACCACATTCACGGCACACTACTGCAGGTCAGATGCATCTCTGCTCTACACAGGAACTGTATTAAAACAGGGGTACTGCACACACACACACTGACTACAGTGCTCTCACTGCATAGTACTGCACACGCATACTGACTACTGCGCTCTCATTACATGATACTGCACACCCACACTGACTACAGAGCTCTCACTGCGTGGTACTGCACACCCACACTGACTACAGCACTCTCACTACATGATACTACACACACACACAGACTACAGAGCTCTCACTGCGTGGTATTGCACACGCATACTGACTACTGCACTCTCATTATGTGGTACTGCACACCCACACTGACTACAGCACTCTCATTACATGATACTGCACACCCACACTGACTACAG